TAGCATTGGATCTTTTTCCTTAAACCTTGCCCATAGTATTCGTAGAATTGTAGGGAAGTAATAATATCTGTGTAGATTTGGGGCAATACTCCAAGCTCCCATAAAATGTACTGTATATCTTGTATGCTATCTTTGTTCAATAATTTGAAAAAATATATAAATGTGTGTTGACAAGCACGGGCATGATCGATATTGCTCAATATAAGTGAAAGATATGAGGGTGCTATCCTTTATGATAAATTACAATTTTCAAGCTTAAGTTAAGTGTTTAATTACACTTCAGTAAAACTTTGTGATGTTAGTATAAGAAGAGAAAATCAATATCAATAGTATATTACACGCAAAGCTATCGTCTGATTCATTAAATTTTGCTATGTAATTACGAAAGATCTTTCGATCTGAAGCGAGACGTAAAGTTATCATTCAAGTTAGCATTACCAAAGCTGTTGCCAACATTTTACCTTAGTATGATAGCTTATTAATTAATTAATTAATTACATTTAGTAGAAGCAGTAAGGCATAAGTTTTCTTGAATGGTTGTTTTCTTTTCATTACCTCATTCTGATTAATGTATCTATTATATAATAATTTCTGCAGTAATCTTACGCCATCGATCGTAAATTCATTTAACAATTAATTTAGAATACGCTAGCTCTCCAAACTTAATCATAATCGATATTTTTTACACTTATCTATTTCGCGACAGACTATTAAATATTACTGTAGGACTAGGATACACGTTCGTATTGCTCTGTTATTGAAATGTTACATTGGCGTGATAATAACTCATCTACTGAAATAATAGGTCACGAAAAAGACTATGATAATCCTGTTTTTTCAGCGTCATAAGCATAGCATATACTTTATACGACCTCGTTCCTTAAGGAACATGACATCTATTTCTAGTTCGCAGTACTAATGAACTATATTTCATCACAGCAATCTTACAATTTGCTGGGTTTGTATGATATTATATTAAATGAGTGCTAAACGTCTATTGAAGCTTTTTAACTGCTGATTTATACAGTTGACTGCAACATATGGATACGAAAGCATATAGTTCGCCACGTGAAAATCTGCCTTATAAAGCTCAGAAATGATAGTAGGCATTATTGCGCTCACGACGATGTCTATTACAATAATTAGCACGCTTAAAATTAACAAATGACGCTGAAGAGAAAAAAAGCATATGAACCAACGAATAATTCCATCTTGAAACTTGGTAGTTATATATATAAAGACGCGGTTAATTTCTCAACTGTCAGCGGGGGGAATTAAAATTAAATAACTCTTAGGGTGGTCGCAGAAACAGGTCCGAAAATACACTACACATTATAATAGCATGACAATAACGTTATGGATTAGCAAGCATTACTTCGCCTTGACAATGTTATTTTATATTACATTTATCATGATTATTCAAGGATCAGATCAATCTATGGAAAATTGACTAATTAAAAATATTTCTTCACAAAATCACAGCAGTAAAGATGATATCTATGTATAGAAGATAAAGAAAAGCTTAAAAAGCTTTACTATACTGCTCTATGATGGTTAACGTTAGTAGAGCACGATAGTGCAATCTAAACATTAGATCCAACCAGTTACCAAGGGGTACAAATAATACGCAACCAATCCAAATCATTTTCATCGTTTTTGTAGGTGTACAAGCTCATGAAACTACTAAAACTATTCGTTAAGATGAATTATAGTACATTAAGCTGACTATCAAACCGCTATCCTCCATGATAAATAAATTTACATTACTTTGTAATCATCCATTTATTGCGCATTTACGGAAGTTATGATGATACTATGTCGAATTGAATTCGCAAATTTAGTAAAGCCTTGCTTTGAATAGGATCATCTAAATACACTTTTGAAGACTATTTGTTCGTTTTCTTCAAGCACCAGTTTTTACACTTTTGTGATAGGACTAAAATCACCGATAGTTCTAATTTGTAACTTTATCGAAAGATCGATTGAATAGATGTAATTCTAAACTGCTATTTTAGAAAACCAAAATGAGCACGTAAATGTTCCATCAAGCACCGGATTAGATATTACTTTCACGGATTACACGATGTTCAATTGTGCAACGTCTAAATATGATTGTCCTAGCATAGTATACTTGTTTGCTAACCATGACAATAGAACTAAGAGAACAATTACTGAATTCGAAGGGCCATTGAATATAGAACTGTTCTCCATTGAAGACGTATTAGTTAATACCATTGTAACGATTTTACTAATGTTATTGGACAGTCTGGATGTCTATCTCTGGCCATTATTGAATAGCAAGATACAAGTGTAAAGACAAGCTGCCATTGTTTATCCTGGTAATCCAGTGGCAATAGTAATAGTATACAAAAGTGGACTAGGATGATACCAATAGGCAATGACTTTTGGTCATTCATGAATTAGATAATAGGAAGTAAGTCCTGTAGGACTGCGGCCTAATAATGTCTTAATTGATTACGATATTCAAGTATGGGTAATCTTAGAAAGTCGAGACGGGCTCCTACTAATTACAAACAATAGATATGAATCAGTAAATAGACTCAACAAGCGAAATTCTGATGCATGTTTACGCCAAGACGACAAATTCATATGGTCTCCAGCCAGGTTCATTGTCAAGTTTTTGTTCACTCCTGATTGGTAGTAATACATTAGAAACCAGTTAGATAACTTTCTAAGGATAATTTAGTTTTACTGGCTTCGAATATTACATAACAAATACTATAAAAGGATGTCTGGTAATTTAAAATTGGGATAGGCCTTAAATTAAAAATAGCGGTTTACACTTATCTGATCTTGATGAAACGTTCTATGAATGGTACTTTGACAGAAGTAGTATTTCATTTATTCAATTAGACTGACAGAAGTTTCCCTCATACGTTAAAAACTTTCATTGTAGGAGCTTGAATTCATTTTCTTCACTGGGGTAGTTTCGATGTAAATGCGCCTGCTTAACTGAAACATAAATTTTTGGTAACGACATGCCAAATTTGACTACGTTGCAAAATTTTACCGTTGTGATATACAAAATTCGTTGTTTCAATAAATAGTAAATGCGTCCGTGAAAATTCTATCCTAACCACAGAAATTTTATTCACATCGATTAATTTTAACTAAATCAAGTTTCGCTTGAGTAAATACTTGAAATTCAGTATTATTGTATTACACTCCAATTATAATTTAATCATTACATGTAACGCGTTTTTTATCGAGATCGAAACTTAGCCTATACGAAAGTCTACGACTATCATAAACACAATGTAGATAAAGTATAGTCATAGTAAATACCACTATTCGTAGAATTAGCATCGTAACAATATATTTATCTTCAAGTTGTTAAAAATTGAATAAATTTTGCTTACTGGTGAAATAATTAAATAGATGGAGTTATATGGCATCACTAAAAGGCAAATGTTAAAATAGTTTCAACACTAACGTGCCTATTGGTAATTTCTATATGTATCATATCGATTAAAAGAAGCTACTATATTATTTCATGAGCACTGAGACTGACAGTAATCGCCTTTAGTTAATGATATTACTTTATTGTCTTTTTTGAAATTATAACAATGAAAGTACGGTAGCCTTATCCTTAATTTGTTTAATTCAAATTCATTTTATCTAAATTAATATCCCATAAACTTAACCACACGTCAAGTTTGATCAGTATAAGAATCATTTTATTGTCTAGCCTTAACTTATAAGCAGACATGCAGTATCTTAATGTAATTACATATTGATTGACATTTCGAACTCTTAATCCAATTATACACGTTATAGCTAATCTATGCTCATAAATCAAATTCTACATAAAAAAATCAAAGTTTTCCTCTCTCTTCCGTAATTTAACTGTTAAAATTTAGTTGCATTACTTGTCCAATAGATAACCTCATTTTATCCGGGATAACCCTTGATTATTCATATTAACGTCTCAAAAGAAATCATGATTTTGTATTTGGCATATTAGTAGATAGCAAAATATATAACCTTTAAACCACTTGCAGAAAAGGCGTTGCTAGCAATTCCGCGGTTTATAAAATTATGGCGTATAGCTTATTATTTAACCGTTTATTGAATATACTGAATCTCGTGGCATTGGGTAGTTTCTTTTGGAATTTGCATGAAAAGATAAAATAATTATTGGTTAAATTTTTGAAAATTTGAAAGGACAGGAGATAGTGTTACATCAGCGGTTTATGGTGAATTATAAATTTCGTGATCTTTTAAAAGTTTCAGTATGCAACGCTGTTGTTTCTTGTTCATGATCAGTTTGCAGTAATGGAAATAATCTCACTTTTTTATGCAATAATATATTAATTGCCTTTAAGAATGAGACAATGCGGAAACAGTTATAATGCTATAGTGCAGAGAAAAGTTACGTATTAGTCTCCTATGTGATCAAATTTATGAGTATCAGGGATGAAAGCACAGGCCTTCAGTACATGTAATCGCTGCCAGCTTACTGTATATAACAAATTGTGCTGTATCACATTCGAGGTCTTTTAAGAATCAGAAAGCAAAGAAAGAATACAGTGTAAAGCGGTTAGTTTATCAATTAATGTAACTAACTACGCTATCGTACTGATTTCAGTTGGCATCATTCTAAGGGATAAAAATAGTAAATAACCGGAGCAATAAAGATTCAATCGTAGAAAGCCTACGGTTGCTCCTTCTGCCTGAGTTGTATCAAATAGATCTGACAGTTGCTGTACAAAAGTATTTTCGTTTAATCTACAGAATACCTATTTACGTACACATTCTTAATTGTCATTGCTTTATAGTATCTTTCATATGTATTTGAACTACTTCACCTATGTTAAATATTGTACACCTTTTTAATATTATTGATAATAGAATCTCTTATTACCTTCAATGGATTCGGTTACGGATATTATGATGCATCTGAGAATCGCGTAATTACATCTGAAAAGAACGATATTTCGTTTGGTGTTAGGACTTTTTCTACCGATGGCATTATTTTAATGGCTAATGGAACTGATAACTATTTGATACTTGAATTGAAGTCAGGATACTTGAGATTGAGAATTCAATTTAGGCATATGACGACATCAGAATACGTTATCAACAATGGAGTGAAAATTTCGGATAACGTATGGCATCAGGTAAGTTTTTCACGGAATAAACACTTTGGAATCTTAACTGTTGACAATGTCAATTCAGCTCATGATAGAAGATCTGGTCTAAGTGGTGTAGATGAAATTACAATCGATGATATGATTTATGTTGGTGGTTTTCCAAGAACGAACGATACCGTTGACACCATCTCGAGCTCTCGCAACTTTAGCGGTTGTTTACGTGATTTGGTGTTTAACGGAATTACTGTCTTGCAAAATTTATTTGGACAGTTTCCTTATGGTGTATCTGCAGGTGTCAATCAAGGATGTGTCACAACTGCGCCTTATATTGCATCCCATCTGCAATCGCAATCTTCAAGACTTATCATTAATATATCACCAAGCGGCTTGTTCGATTACTTGTTTGATTTTTGGTTTCGTACAACAGACAGTGGCCGTAGCCGCGAGTTAGTCTACATTCAGGCAACTTACAGTGCTGTGATTAGTCTGACATCTGGAATTGCAACAATGTTGCAAGTGGGTACAACGGATACACATGTCTTTCAGCCAAGACTTAATGATGGGTCATGGCATCAATTTCGAATGATAAGCTCATCGACAAGCTTTCGTGTATACATTGATAACGATTTTGGCTCCGTTGCCTTTGAGCGAACTTTAACAACCCAACAGTCTCCTCAGATTACAATTGGATCGCAAAACGCTCAAGGCTTTATTGGATGTATACGAGATCTAAAGGTTAATGGAATCTCAAGAAGTGTATTGGATACTAGCTTTGCTCGTAACAATATAATTTATAACAGTTGCTCCATTCAAAACTTTTGTCAACCATTTTTCCCATGCTACAACAACGCTACTTGTGTTAGCAATCCTGGCTCATTCGCTTGTATTTGTGGCTCAAACAGTAATTATGAAGGAACCTATTGTCAGTTGTGTAAGTTAAGATTATAAATAGTGTAATATTGACTCCATCCCATGTAAATTAACGAGTCGACGTATTTTGTAATTAGCACAATAACGATAAACTCTTGCTTTACACTGTAATGATTAATTTAAAAACTATGACAACGGTAATGCAATTGATCAATTTACCAATATAGATAAATATCGCAGAAATTGTCAAGAAATATTCACGTTCAATCCCTCTGCTACAACTGGAGTTTATACTATCGATCCTGATGGTCCGTTAGGCTCTATAGCACCATTTCGAACTCGATGTTCTGACACACAACAGACTGTCACTGAAATAGCTCATGATCGAGAAACTCTGACAGTGTTACCTTCCTCACGTCAGAGCGTTGGTCCTGGAAGATACTCTTATAATTTAATATATAAGGAAGGAACAGGCCAGCAATTTGGAAATGTTTCCATCAAACAAGCAGCAGCGCTAGCTGATATTTCTGAAAGCTGTTCCCAAAATATCGTGTATCGTTGTCAAAAGTCTGTTCTTCTAAACACCCCGAATACGCCATATGGATGGTGGGTATCAAGAAATAACATGAAAATGGTTAGCTGGGGTGGAGCACCCGCTGATTCACGTAAATGTGCTTGTGGTGTTACCGGAAGTTGTGCTAATAGAACCAAAATGTGTAACTGTGATGGTAATTTTGGTAATACCGTGCTGACAGACAGTGGTTCTTTAAACGATAAGAGATACCTTCCAGTTAAACAAGTGAGATTTGGCTTCGAATCGCTGAACAGTAGCAGGATTGGTATATATAGTGTTGGTAAACTGATTTGCAGAGGAAACGGTATGAAAAGGACTACATTAAACAAATGTCTTAATAATGCAATAAGCTTTTTAGAAAGCTCTTAACAAGTTGTTATTAGTAAGTACGCAATATTATACTAATATCTGTTAACCTTGAACCATTTCTACAGCTGCTCCTAACCATATCATCACGTTTACAACAAGAGCATCAAGGATAGAGTTACCAGACTGGCAGAATTCGTTTAAAGGCGTAATAGACATAGCCTTTAAATCAACTGTGGCTAATGGTACATTGTTAAAAAATGTCGGTAGAACTGGAGATTTCTTCGAATTGTCCGTACAGTCGTCTGCTGTACAGATGCAGTATAATTTAGGACAAGGTATCGATAATGCTACCTTAACTGTCAATAGTGCCGCTAATACTCGCTACAACGATGATCAATGGCATAGGGTTCGGCTATTTTTTTCTCCGAGTCGAGTCAGTTTAAGAGTAGATAGCCTGCCAGAAGTATTTCGTACTTTTCAACAATCACATCAGGTAGCAAGACTTGATATTGATGGTCCATTGTTCGTTGGTTATAACCCACAGAGGTAAATGAAAATTGTGAATTGGTTCAAATGTGACACCCTTTAAATTTCTTGTGCAATGTTGTACTTATTTATTCGTATTATCTTATAAGAAGTGCTACTAAATGTATATGTAATGTTTTCGCGTTTGCTTTTTGTTTACTCATGACCAGGCCGTCGAATGGCTTTATTGGATGTATCGGTAGTTTGTATATTAGCGAAAGCTTGCAACATCTTGATTCATTTGCTGCTGCTTTCCAAGGGGTAAAGAATGGATGTGGAAAGGCCTGCTTCTTTCTACCTTGTCAGCACAATACACCATGTACTGGAAACTACAGTAGCTTCCGATGTGATTGCACTAATACTGATTGGACTGGAGAAAGATGTGAAGCACGTATGTTTATTATTATAACGATACTGATTCTACCTTAAGAAATTTGTTGCAGACTGCAATTCGTAGATTGTATAATACTGAAGCTTGATAGACGTTAGAATAGTACCCATGTATAATACATGTTGGATAATTATTTATATAATACTATTACGGTCTAAATGGCAATTGTGTGATTGTTTGATTTTTCTATTTGATCAGCAAAGGGAGCTCATTTCTCTGGTAACAATGTAATTGAATACAAAGCTTCGAACATTTTGCCGCGTCTCCCAAATGGACGTGAGGATATCAGTTTTACTTTTGTTACTAATTCATCGAACTGTAGAATATTTCATGTTCAAACAAGAAGTGGACAACAGATGGAATTTGGACTAGTGAATGGTGAAGGATACGTATCCGTTGGTAATATGCGTGTTACGCTACGAGGCATTCTAAGTGATACCAAATTGCATAAAGTAATAATCAGCCCAACTGATGATACTATCAGCATCGATGGAGTTACCAGCCTTGTGCGCAGCAATGTTGGTTTATCAGTTCTCAATTTGCCCATCGTCGTATTAGGAAGCTCTAATAACGATAATTCAGTATCGATGTGTATTAATGATATTTCTTTCGTTGGAATCCGAATTATGAATTTGGCCTTCAGTATACCCAGAAACAATTCAGTGACATTTATTCGCAACTCGCAAGGTCGTGATCCAATTTCAGGAGTTTGTACTAGTAGTATTAGTTATTGGACTGGTACTCCTACACCCAGTATTCGTAGTCTCTCACCAACTAGAATCCTAGCTACGTTACCATCTGTCGGAGCTCAAGCTAACGTTACGCCAGGAGGTATTGTTGGAATTATAATTTTCTTACTTATTGTTCTTGGAATCATCATTGCCTTATACGTACGTAAATCAAAGCAAGATGCTGGTAAATACACTACTGAAGAAGCTAAAGCAGCTGAACATCAAGCTACTGTCGAATTCAAAGCAATTGGCCCTGAAGTAGATACGATTAATGGGAAAAAGGAATTGTACGTGTGAAATTAATGTGGTTTAATGATAAAATGGATACATGATATCCATTAGCAATGATAACTATGAGCTAATAGATCAATTTAGAACGTTGTGATAGGAATATAACCGACTTATTATAATTGTATTGTAATTGCTTATATCACGTATTATTGTGATAATATAATCCTCGCCACTAAGAGATAAATAAGATCAAATACCTCAGCAGTAACACTTTTATTTGCACTTGCTTAGTTTATTTTAATTATCAAAGGTTACGACTAACCTACGTTATGCACTGATAAAATCTACAAAACTACGGTAAATATTGCAATTAATAGGCCGTAAGATTGTAATCAGGATTGTGTTGAAGTTAATGTTAGCCTAATTATTAAATGTTTTCATGTATTGGGTTTTTTAAATACAATAAGAACTTTTATCTTCATATAATCTAGCCGAATCAGCATCATTAATGTTGATAAATTAGTTAAGGCAAGTTATAAGGCGCGTGAACCACATTCTCCGAATTGACCTGCACTAAAGTGCTAATTTTCTGTTGGCAAGCATAGGCATAGTAAGACCTCTGCCATTTACGAAAATTATTATTTTACTGTTGTTTTCTTACATGTTTCTGATCATTATTTTAATCAACGATTGAAATCCTGATTATGCAGTATTTGGAAGAAGAACGTTATTTTACCGCCTTTGTAATAACATATTAATCTTCATTCTATTTAACCAAGTAGCAGCACCATTTTTGTAACCGTTTATACCAATTTATATGGCACTGATGTACAATGCATTAGGTGGCTAAATAGTAAACGTTTGGATGGATATTACCGTACTTAATAACACCAGATTATTAAATTTTTCGTTCTTTATTAATTAACTAGTTAATATCAACATGATTGTAATAGAAAATGAAAGAAGAGGATTGATGGGATACAACGAGTGACTTGATTGATTTTATTATGAAATATCATCATCTTTAATGATGTAGTTGTCGAATCTCAGGTTATGGCGTCAGTTTTACATAATATTGCTATGCCGATTCGTAATACTTGCCAACAAACACTTCGAATATAATCAGATGTTGAAAAGCATTAGTTAAAAACGCATTGGCATGTATTTTTTTGGATTATAATCGTACAGCAGGGTTCGTATAACGTTTTCTGTTCAACAAAGATTGCCTTAATGCTTTGGAGGAAATCACTATGAAATTTTGAATCAAACAACTACAAATAGCAATAGCTAGACCCTTATTAGCTTTCCTTACATATTATTTCCCTTTGTTTGAGACATAAGCCAAGCTCAGTATGAGAGTAAAGCTAAAATTATATCCTTTGCACTAGTATACAATATTCACTCCATTTAAATTTACCAATCCTACTACCCGCACTCCCATGAATTCCGAATGACTGATATTTTTGTCAGAATAAGTGCATCTAATTTTTACCAAGCATACATTTTTAAGTTATGAAAGTAAATCCATTATTCAGCTGATACTTCATTCAGTTTGCTCAATCAATCTGGAAGTTGAACCATGCTCGAAATAATATTCAAATCTTGTAAAACTTACGATATTTTTATGTTATCCAATGTTGTGGATGAAGGCGAATTGAAGTTTTAGTCTTTACTGAATTATAACATTATTTTGAAATATTCAATACTGTGTGATGGAGTATTTGTTACAGTCAGTTAATGAAATTGGCTATACAGTATAGAAATTAAACTGTAAACTTGAGTTCCTTGTACTGCGTAGTTATGACTACTTGGGTCTTCTAGTTATCAATTTATGGCAGAAGCAAAGATCACACGGTACTGTATTACCTGTGATGTATTTAAAAGTTTTATTTACTAGTATTAACGAAGAAAAATATATTTTGCTTTGGTAGTTAAAAGGAAATCAACTTTCCGAGCACACAACATAGTACAACCATTGATTAATACAGTTCCATTTATTTTCTTAAATAAGTATGCAATAACACGAGAGCTACAAGGGATTAAGAACCAGTTTGCAGGTAGTACACAAATCCAAGGCATAAATCGCAAGGTTTCTATAGTTACGGTAGCTGTTTTAAGTACAGTTTTGTTAGAAGGCATATCATTATAAAATGGAATTACTTCAAATGAATACTGATCATATTGTGTTATAATGCTCAATTTTTAAAATTTCGACTAAGTCCAATACATATGAACTATCAGCTGGCTGTTAGCCAACAGAATTCACGGTAAGTAACGAAATTTGCTCACTCTCTCGCATCTGCATACAACATACTTGCAGCTCGAAGCAGTATGTTAACATTACACTAAGTGCGGACGGTGTTTCAATGTAATTAAAAATATACCTAAATTATCAAGCATATCCAACAGGATATCGGAATTACTTTATTTTTTGTATAGCGACAAGACTTCTCTTTGAGTTCTTTACGTGCTGCTATTTCAACATCTATTCAGTTATTCACTGCTCGCTCCGTGTTCTTTTCTTCATTGATAGCCAAAGGTTAAGTTACTGACTGGTTACTTTTTTCTTCTTTCCAAGTGCAACAAGGGATATACTATATAATGCATACCCAATGCCAACAAACGCATAAGTTAGCACACCACGGTAAATAAGCCGATCTAAGCCACCCCGTTTTAAGAAGACTAGAGAATTGCCAGCCTAGAACATGAAATAGTTTATGAAATAGAATGACCGAAAGTATATGCGTGTATAACATATAACTGGTACGATATAAGTGAGAACATGCTGAGTGGCAATTTGGTTTGACACGGCCTTGTTACAGTATCCTATGTGATTCGCAGTACATTAGGTATACTGTACAATATTAGAGAATTTCATTCATCATTGCATTACCAAATTGGTAAGTCAATTTATGAAACGAAAGATTTTAAAAAGGTAAGCTTTTAGTTATAGCGAGTGCGATGCTATTTGATCTGACCGTTTTTCAATGGAAATTTGTCAGATTCTACATTTAGTTGCCATGTCAATAATAAAACTACTGATAGATGATGTACCAAATTATAGAAATGGCAGTTGTTTTAAAGGGTAAGTTACTGTATGCTGTACACTGTATAGGAGATGAGAGAAAAGAGCAATTATCATCCAATCCTATTAATGGGACTTTATGGATTACGCTGTTAGCAGCGTTGGATTTCAAAATGGCGATCCTGGTACCGGTTGTGTCTGTCAAATTGAGTTCAAACTGCACTCTATTTTGTGGCATTTGGACGTGTTTGGCAAGTAATTAGAGTATTAAGGCAGTGTATTGGTATTGGGAGTAAACACCTTGATCATTTTCTGCACTTTGCCAAGTTTCTGAGGACTAGTAGTACACTCTGTACTTTCATACTATCCATATTTCACCGTTAAAGTAGAGTATGTAGCAAGAGCTAGTTTGTGTTTTGCAATCCTTGCCTGTAGCACTGCTACAAAACAGCCAGTAAGAATTGATTACTATGCAAGCTGTCGTTGGTTAGTGTTGCACTGAGTGAAGTAGATCGCTGCATTTTAGGCTTTGGTAGCATCTTTACGTAGAGTCATTGACAGTTTAACTTTACATTATTACAACAACTGATACAAAGTAGTCGGTAGTCAAGAGTCAATGCAACCATGATCGCAATCCATCAGAGTATTCTTGACATTTTACCTATGGTTTCTTCAGCGGCTCATTTTACCGTGACGATTGTAACCTCAACTACTCTACTACTTTACATTACGTATCGCTTCGATCTCCAACGATAGGATCCAAGTTGCCTACCTGAAATTTCCTTTGGAACTTGACTGTGTTGTTAGGCCTATAAACCCACATATCTAGCATTCCCATCTTGAATTGGTGCTTTTATAAACTCTTTGGAAATTGAAAAATGGATGGCCAATTTGCTTCTTGTTTCTTGTTGAAAAACACCAGCAGATGCACGCACGTCCACAGCAATGGCAGCCTTTGAAGTAGCCAGGGCTATTGATTACGGGCGTTGACTCACTGTACAGTGTACAGTACCGTACTGTACAGTGCTATCTACTGTGGAGTATACTGTACAGTACGGTACTACTGTCTTCACTCTATGGTCATCACTCTCCGATTTTGACTTGTTTGCGCGGTCCGGTGCGGTGCGTTACGGTACGGTACGTTACGGTGCGTTACGGTACAGCACTGCACAGTAGCGAGAGCGATGCTGTACAGTACAGTGGATACTGCATACAGTGTACAGTACAGTATGTACATGTACTGTACTGTACTGTACTGTACATACTGTTTCATAACATTTTGTCACTTTCGGGCAATACTGTATTTTTCTTTAAAAATACAGTAAAGCTATAATACAGTAGAATGATACAGTATATTATGCAGTATCCACTGTACACTGTACACTGTACAATGTACATACAGCATCGCTCTTTCTTACCACACTCATACTGATGGCACTGCACAGTAAGAAAGAGCGATGCTGTACAGTGTACAGTGTACAGTGTATACTGCATACTGTATACTATACTG